CTTCTGAACGTCCCACGATCATTATTCCCCTTTTCCACCCTCAATAGGCCTTCACACTTGCGCATTCCTAGTCACAGGCTGCGCCACTCCGAGCCCTTTAAATCCAAAATGGCAGTTCTGTCTCCAGGCGCTCACACGCAACCAAGTGCCTCTAATCCAACATCGTCGTTAATTTGGCTTCTTTGATGCCATTATTTTTCTCTGATGCCATGCTCCTGTGAAAGCACCTTTTTCTTCTCTTGTGCAATGACTGCTAGGGATCCATATACTAGTGCCTGCACTGTCATCGGATACTCACCTTCTTCATAGTGTGTCTTGAGGGTTTGGTACTTCTCTTCTTTGTAAATGCCGACTGTGCCAAGCGAGTTCTTCTTGGATTCCTCGAAGTAAATAGCCACATCTGCTTTTGTCATTGCCGTGCGTTTTTTTCGTCTCTCAGGAGGATGTCTGACCTCGGTAATGTCTCCACGTCTTATTAGCAGCTATCAATCTAAACTGTCTTCCTCCTATTAACAAGCTATTCTTGATAGCTCTTGTGATACTCTCCAGTGCCTTGTTATACCTAGTCTTTATCTTGCAGTCTAGGCTGTGTGGGCATGAGCGAGTGTTTCAGTGTCAGCCGTGTAGTGGCGGCAGCTTGAAACCTGCGAGTTGGATCATATCGAGGTATGCGCTTGTGGGAAGCTGTGAAGCTTGTGCTCTTATTGCCAACTTCACTTCCTCGGGCTTCAGGGGCGTGGTTCCATTGAAGACAGCATTGCTACTTGATGTGTGGTAGTCCACGGATTTCCCTTGATCTGCCATTGCCTTCCACACACCTCGCCGCCACCCTGCCATATGTTCGTTGATGCTTCTGATGAGGTTCTTCTGGTCTAAGTAAGAGCCTTCTGATTTCTGAACAGCATGCAAGCTCCCATTACTCCCTGTCTCGATTCGCGCCTTCTCACATTGATATGTTTCCCGGAAGCTCTGACGGCAAGCCCTTATATTCAGTCTTTTGTTTCTCCTCTTAAGACATCAAGTATCGCGTCTGTTGAAATAGGGAAAGAATAACTTCGCGATCACTGGTATCCTTCGCAGGTGTATATAGGAAAGCCCCGCCTGATGACCTCAAGCACCTGACTGTCTGCAATCTTTCGGTCCATGGAACCCTTGCATTTAAGCATCTGCATAGTACTTTCAATGTGTGTTGCTGCTTCGATCGTGTGTATGGATGTACAGCCCATCCCTCCATTCGAAATGGGTTGCTGGAACACGTCGGTTGCTATGTGCTTCCCCCAATGGCACGTAGATGAGGATGGAACACAGCCAAATTTTTTTTTCAAGGGTAGCAATGCCTGTGGTGATAGTCAAGCCCAGACAACACAAAAGTGCGCATCGCATCCAACTTCTCCCAATGGAGGAGCTCTGATCTGAGGTGCTTAATGATATCCTTCTTCGTCTTGCTAATGACTTGAAGGATTTGGCTCTGTTACACTGTAGTCTCTAGAGCACCTTTGACCCCTAGGTACTTGTACGCCTCTCCCAAATCAAGCAAGCTTTTCCCCTGTTGGTCAGCATGAGATTTCTGTTGTCATTGAGCTTGCCTTAGGACACCTGCGCTATTGTTTCACAGATTTGCCAACATCTGTGGAACAAATAGTGCAAATTTCGGTCTTTCTTGCAATTTCCACCACTTGTCATGCACGTGAACTGCTTCGTTATTTGAGCCACAAGCACACTCACATATCGCCAATTATTCTACGCAATTTTTATTGCGAGAGTAGCTTGAGGGGTCACGATCTTAGCCGACCACTGTCGTGAGCTGCAACCGGGTCAGCTGTACTGACTAATAAAATACAAGAAAATACACCAGAAGAAGCTACGACATGTCCCCCTGTCCCCAGGATCTCCGCGGGCAGGCGTTCAAGGGCCTGGGGCTAAAGATCAAGAGGAAACGAAAGAGACATACTTTGTTATGGGTTGTAGCACACCGCACTGCAACAGCTCCTGCTTAAAAGGCACTACAACATACCCAAAGCCCCTTCCGCTGCATGCACTAATTCTGTAGGCAACCGTTATTAAACATTTCCTTGGCCCTCCGTTACCAACCTTCACTCCAGTAGAAATACATATATTGTAACGAAGGTCAGCGATCACATCCGAAGACCGTCGTGGGCTGCAGTCGAGCAACAGCTTAAGGAGAGAATCGCGAAAGAGGTCACAAAGGGAGCCTGGTGCCCCCACTCCCGCCCCCAGACATTCTGGGCACAGCGGTCCGAAGGTCTTGGGCTGGGGCTGGCGAGGTGGCCTGAGATGAGTTGCAACGCGCCTCTCTGCAACAAATGCTGCAACACAGCTTCCCATGCAAATCCAGCCATTCCCCCTTTTGCTGTTTGAACTAGTTTTGCAGACAACTGTTATCGTGCGTGCAGGATGCCTCGTAAGGCTATCTAGGGGTTCATAGACCACACAGACAAACCACGCAACATGTAAAAAAGAACTTTACAGGCATTTACTGGCATCCAGATATTTCCCTGGTAATATTTCGTTGGAATCCCCTGTTTTTATTATTATTTCACAATCTTTGTTTATTTATTAAAGTCAAGCAGTTTCTACTGGGTTATGCTGTAGAAGCCTGAGACAGGAAGCCCCCCCGTTGCATGCAGCTGCAACGTACGAAAGATGTGGAATCGTGCTGGTAGTTTGCTGTGTTTGTATTCCTGGGCTTTGTTTGCTGTTATTCCTTGGCAACGAAAGAGGAATTAAACAGGGAAGAGACGAAATCATTCCCTCTGAACCCCCGTATCTGGAGGCCGTGCCTGGTGTTTCTTTGTACACGCAGGGCGGCGCCGGTGCTGTGGTTTGAACTGCATGCACACATGCATACATTTATTTTCCTCGTATTTTCAGATTATTCAATTAGTTAAGGTCTCTTACGTTGCTGCGCTGCAGACAGGCCCCTTGTGAGCTCTGTAGGGCGCAGTGTTGGCGGCTTGCTTAGTGCGTGTGGAGGGTTTAGGGTTTAAGGTTTGGGGTTCTGGAGGATGGATCCCCCTGGGGGGAACGTGCGTGGTTTTGGGGGGCAGGCTTACGGAGCCCCTGAGTTGTGGTATCGCTCTTTACCTCCTATAACGCGCGCAGTTGCAACGGCGACATTCGTCCTAACTCTGCTTGTAAATCTTGGAATGCTGCCTGTGCAGCTGTTGATGCTGGACTGGCACTTGGCGATATTTCGACTGCAGTTCTGGAGGCTGTTAACAACGGTGTTGTATGTGGGGCGTTTCTCGTTGGGTTGGGTCTTTCACATGTACATGTGGCTGCATGTCAGTGGAGATTTGGAAACAAATGCAGTTTTCTCGGTGGCTTCGAAAGGAGCATATCTGCTCTTTATTCTCTTTACAACTATCGCCACTTCCCTCCTCTCCCTTCTCGTCTTCTGGCCCGCAGGTACGTACACCGCGCAGGCGCATGCACAAACAGTTGCAGCAGCAAACAGACTCTGCAGCACACCGCAGCACCTTTATAACCAATGGCCGACAAAGTGAAAAAAATGGGTTATAGACGAATTATGCTCAGTGAGAATAAGAAGAGAACAAAGATGTGTTAAAATATTGCAATGCTCATCATAGGCGGTGGCCTGCGTTCTCTAACATATTAGCTGTTGGTGTTGGTGCTTGTTCTTTAGTTCTGCAATTGCTTGTCTTGGTGATGTTGTAGTTTGTTGGTTTTCATTCCAGTGAATCTAATTGGAAGCAGTAGTCCTTTCTTCATTCAAAAGCATACGCGCACGTATACGCAGTCTCCATGCATTTTAGCATTTATAACGCGTATATACAGGGGTGCCTAAACGAAGGTTTGCGGAGTAGTGTGCGTATTCCATCCTTTTTTGTTTCTTCCGTATATTTGCTTTAATGCGTGCTTGCTTGTGCTCTTTTCAGGGGTATACTTCCACGCAGAAGGCGTGATGTTTGCGTGTTTGTATTACTGGTCGAGAAGAGAGCCGTACACGCCTGTCTCCGTTTCTTTTATGACAGTACAGGGGTATCAGCTACCATTTTTATTGCTACTACTACATCTGCTAATGGGCCGGGATCTGTGGCTCGACGCCTTCGGACTCGCGGCAGGTCATGTCTACTACTTCTTGAGAGAAGTGCTGCCAGCAAATGGTAATATGATATGCCCTTCGTTTTGTTCTGTTTTGCTTTGCCTTGTCCCGCTGCTGTTTTCTTCAGCAAGTTCTGAGCTGCTACTGCGCTGCTCCAGCTCGATGCATGCGCCAGGAACTGCTATTCAGCACCTTTAGCGTTCCTCTCCGCTGCTATTTCCGTTTAGTGTCTACCCTAAGGGGAGATAGAGTCTGTGATTGTGTTTATTTGTGTTGCCTAGAGGATATGTAACTGTACTTATTTATTTTAGTACATTTTACACTTAGGTAATTGGATTGCTTACAAAGGGTGTAGATGCTTGTAATTGGGTTGCGTAGAGTGCAGACGGAGTGTCTTCTTCTTTTCGTCACTTATTTCTTATATAAAATTTACAGCTGAAAAAGCCCAGTGGTTCAAAATCACTGAGAATACACCCTGTGTTCAGTGCTGTTTGCCGAGTACTAATCAGGTTACTATTATACACACTGTATTGTGCTCCTAGTATTTATATGTGTAGTATTGTTATTCCTTTTATTTCCTTGTTTTTGTTTTTATTGTTATCTTACTCTTTTCTGACCTGGTGCCGTGGGGTGCAGTGCAGACGCATCCCACCGGTTTGTTCATCTCTTTTTTTGAATTTGTTGCTGCATTTGTTGTTGCAAATATATTTTTTGTGACTTATTATTTTCAGCATGCGCCTCTTGATTTATTATTTTTAATTGGATTTTTTGATGTTATATGAAGTTCGCATGCATCTTTTTTTTCCCCTTTCACCAGGACAAACACGAAATAGAATATCTGATGAAATATGTTCATCTAACACCCTTTATTCTGCAATATCACCCATATCAAAACCTGTCAGAACCTATAAAGTGAATTGTATATGCTTTTTTACGTCTTATATTGGGGCCTCCACAGCGGTTGTTCCCGGTCCTGTTGCTGCTGCTGCTGGAGCCACCGCAGCGAAGCAGTTTCTTGCGATCCCGTCCTTGTCTTTGTGTTTTCTTAGGGGGTCCAGATCTCCTCAGCAGAGCTCCTAAGGTTCTCGACATGGCTGCGGAGTACGTCTCCAACAACCCCACATCAGCTGGAGCCGGAGGAGGGCCAGGGGGCCCACCAGGCGGCCCCCCCCGCGCTCCGGCTGGCGGGGGCGTTGCAGCAGGAGGGGCGACTGGGGGCTCCACTGGCAGGGGCTGGGGCTTCTCTGTGCGGCGTAGGGGCCCCCCTGGGACGGAGCCGTTTACAGGTAGAGGCTATACACTTGGCGGGGGTTAGTTAGCTGCATGCAGACACCATGGAGCTGACTGCTGCATACACGCGGGTGCATGCATGCACTTTGCATGTTTTGGTTGTGCGGTTTTTGCGCAACTCGTGGTAGTTTCTTGCGGAGGATTATGACTTCTTCTTCATCTTGCGTGAGGGTTTAGTGAAGATCTAAACCCTAAAACCAACACTAAGGGTCCCTCCCACCTGAGGCCTAAGGAAGGCCTTTCAAACATGTGTAGAGGTGCGCCAGGGTTTGCGGAGGGGCTAGTTCGTCGTTTGCTAGGGTTTTGTCAGGGTTTAGAGATTCCTTGTGGTGTAGGGTTTCGAAGCGCAGCCTCGTTAAACCTTCGCTAGACCCCAGTAGCCGGATCTCCTCACGGCTTCTGTGTGCGGAGAGGCCTCTACAAAGAGCTACAGGAATACCAGTACAGCATGTATATATTATATGCATGTGTGCATGCATATATCTATATCACATTTTGTATATCTTAATGTATATGAATCAGCCCAAAAGCTTCGCTAACACACCGATAGAGAAACTGAGGGCAGGCAGATGCAGAAGATTCAGCATAGCAACGCGCATGCACATGTGCGTCTTTCGTTGGTATGCACGGGTAAAATATTTATGTAATATGCACATTTTACCAGTGCAATGTGCATGCATAAGTACATGAATATCCATGAACATCGGTTCTCTGTGAATGCACCTATATATATATATATATATATATATATATAGATGCAACACGTCATGCGCATATTATAAGCCGAATAGTACTGCATAGAAGGTACAGGGATACGTATATGCAACTAAAACAGCTGCTGTAGATGGCTAGTCCTCGACGATCTGAGTTTAGAGAAGTCAGTTATGAGAGTTATCTGGAGACGGGGAAAAGCGAATGACAGGCTAAACAGGGTGCTGCCAGGCGGAGTCAGATACTTCAGTCCCTCTACTACCCCAGAAGGGGATTCAATGAAACGAAGATAGTTGATACTCAAGCGAAAGAAGGCGGAAAGAGGCACAAGAGATTCAGGGGCAATAAGATAGCGGGGGAGAAAAAGGACACCCGGTGGTAGCAAGAGGACACGGAAGACGTCGACGCTCACAGCGGCTTGGGCGGCTGCCTCCTTTTTAACATGTATCAGCCTGGTATGTCTCCCTGCGTGAGAGCCATCGGTGCACGTAGCCGCACGTTCTGATTCTCTGTGCATCGAAAAAACTTAACAGCACAACTGCCAGAGCTGCCTACCCACCCTAGTGTTTAGTGTTCGCTGCCTCCTGCACCCCCCAAGCCACAAAAGAAAAGGCTCAGCTACCCACAACGAATTAAAGGTTGAGGGTCTGCGTCCAAAGTTAGCGTTCCCTTCACGCAACCGCCGGGCAAAGAAACAAGCCAAACACCTAGTAGCGAAAACCCTACACCCTAAGCGCTCGACCGCGTACGGTCAGGAAGAGAACCACTGACGGCAAACCCCTATACCCTGAACCCAGGAGGCTTTGCCCCCGAGGGTTGCGACATAACTTCCCACGTCTACAACAAACGTCCTGCGCCCTAAAACTCGATTTCGGGTTCGTCAGGCATATGCGCAAGCAGAAGAAGGTAGCTCGAGGTCTGACAGGCTGTCTGCCTCCTCTGCCGCTTCCGGCTCGACTTGTGCGGGGGCATCAGCCCCGTACACCTCCCCTGCAGCAGCAGCAGCAGGCATTAAGCAACACTTTGTGAAACAGTTGTAGTAGTTGCAAAAAGAAAGCCAAAAGCTCATCGCGGCTAGAGCAGGAGGGCCTAGAAACCAGTTAACGCTAGCAGCCCACCACGTGCAGAAGCAGCAGCAGCGGCACAAGGAGTGCAGCAATCATAGTCAGGAGAGCAGCAGCGGCAGAGCAAAAAGGAGCAAGGCGCACAAGCAACCCCGAAACAACAACCAGCGGCAACAGCAGCAAGAACAGTAGGGCCAGCAGCAGCAGCACGTCTGCTTACCAATATGAACTTCGTCTGCATCGTCTGCTGCATCGACTTCCGCGCCTTCGAGAGCGCCCAGCCAACTGGGGCTGCTGAGCTTGCAGCTGCTCCCACTGCCGAAGAAGAGGAGTCTGTTTCTCTGTCTATCAACGAAAAAATAAAAGAAAGAAGATAAACAAACACCAGGAGCAGCTGGGGCTGCCCCCACAGGAGCAAACAAAGAAATCAAAGGCGTCGGGTCCTCCGATTCTCCTGTCTCGTGGCTGTACACCGCACAGCTGCTCAGACACACCGCCGACTAAACGCCGAACAACGCACAGACACATACACAAACAAAATGCCTTTTCATAAACGTATATGCATATGCATATACATATGCATACTTAACATATACGCACACATACAAGCGAATGCCGCTAGATTAGTTTTACGAGGTACACATGCATATGCTGCATTTACATACATTTCAATACAAATGCAAACGAAAAAAAAGGACACATGGCTTTCATCACCCAATGCTAAAACTCTATGCATTGAAGAGGCAAAAGCACACACACTGCATACTACGCAGAAGATACGCACATTTCCCACACCAGCCACACCAACAGCCGCAGCTGCAACAGCAACAGCAGGAATCACGTGTGGCGTCTCGTTTGACGCACCTCGATGGCGTTCCACAGTTGGACAGTGAATCCCGGGAGTACCATTTCAACACTTCGGAGTTTCTGGTTTATATCTGCCTGCACACTGGACAGACTCGGCTCCTCGCGAAACATCGCTGGCGTCAGGGTGCTGCTGAAGAAGCAGAAGCACACACGCACTATAACACAACATGAAGAATGCGCACGCCCAAACCCTTAACCCAACAGCAGCACAAACACAGACTCGCCCTACAGGAGAACGGCGGAGGAATGGGGGGAAGGGGGGACAGAGTGGCATATTCGCAGCAACAACAGTAGACGGACCTGAATTCATAGTCTGGGAAGCACTGGTTGAGGGTGCTGATAAGATTGACAAGCAGTTGGCGTCCTTTAGCGTTTGTATGTCTTGGGTCTTGGAGGCGTTGTCTCGATTTGCCGCTGCTTCTGGTCGTGCTGCTGCCGCCGTTGCTGCTGCTGCTACTGAGCGGTGAGAGCAACAATGGGGGCGGGGAAGAGGCAGCGAAGAGAGGCGACGAAGTCAGTTCATTCTCTATGATAGCCAACAGACTCTGCTCCTGAGCTGTGTCTTCTGCTGTTGTTAACAACTCCAAACGCCCCCTCACAATTCGGTCGCCGACGTCCAAGTTGTGCAGCAAAGCGCACAGACGCGTCAGCGCAGGACACTCGATGAAACGCATTCTCAAGTGTACACACAACTCGCAGAAGGTGCGAACAAGTCCAGTGTACGTGGACCTCACGTGATGAGTACACACGCGCCACACACGCCGACACAAGACTATCGCTGACCGGCAGATGCCCGGTGTGTTCAACACGAACGAAATCGAAAGAAGTGGCCACACACCTCAATCAATGGAATGACAATCCCGAGGTATGAGCCCACCTACAGGCAAAAAGCGCACGGCTTGCTCGTACGCTTCAACAGCTGACAAACTCACGAGTACAAAATTCAGGTGTACAGGCACCTCAATATGGCCTGGACTTTGGTATACGCACTTCCCACTTGCAAGCACAAGCGACTACCTTCAGACAAACCCAGCCGTACAGGAACCTCGCTGTAAGTGGGATGTATAGGCAGGTGCCACCTGATCCTGCTGCGGTAAGGCTCCCCGCGGAGGCCCAACAAGCAAACAAACAAAGTCAAAGAACCAGTGCCGCTGCTGCTGCCGTGCAGTCTTTGCTGCTGCTGCTGCTACAGGTACGGTCTCTGTGTCAAAGAATCCTGGAGTTGAGCAGGCTGAGGTCTACACGCAGTTCTGTCAAGCGTATTCGTCTCGAACCAATCAAGCACCTTTCTTAGACTGATTTTAAGGGTCGGGGGACCCGTGAGGTGTAGGAAGAGCTGAGTTGAAGCGCAGCGCCTGGAGGCGAACTGCCTGCATTGTTTTTACAAACACACTCGGGGAGACAGAAGAAGAGACAGAGAGACAGAGTCGGGTCATTTCTGTCTCTCCCACCTCCGTCTGCCTGTCTACCGCTGCGCGTCTCCTTGGTGCCGTGTCTGCTTCTCCCTTTGTTTCTTTTCTCTCTTTCTATTTCCTTATTTGGTTCCTGCCTCTCTTCCTATCTCCCTCTCTGTATCCTTAGGCCTGCTTCTGGCCGCTTCGCTTTCTCTCTGCCGCCTTATCTCGAGGTTTTGCTGTCCCCTTTGGTGTGTTTGTCTCCTGTCTCCGTCTTATCTGCATCCGCTCTTTTGCCCCTCCTTCGCCCCAAGCCTTCGCCTGTCTCCTAACCTTCGTACATCCGTCTCCTCCTCTTCGTATCTCTGCCGCCCTTGTCTGTCCCTCCACCGCCCCTCACGTCTTCCCAGCTGCGTCACGTCGCGTTTATCTGCGTCCTATCTACTCTCTCCGTTTGCCTCTCCGTAATTGGCACAGCTTTTCCCTTAGCTACTGTTGCTCCTCCTCCTCCCTTCTTCGTCCCTGCGTCTGTCCCCCTACTCTCGTCCGTCTGTTCCCTCTGCCTAATTCTTTCTGTCCCCCGTTCCAGTTCCTAGGTCGGTCTGCTCTGCCCGCCAGCGTGCCTTTCTCCTCACGTCTCCTATCTCTTGCTGCTGTCTGATGCTATCTCCTCCTACCTCTGCTACTGTGCCCTTAACCTTAACTCCCCCTGTCTCCTCCCGTCCCCGCCTCAAGATCCACACACTTTCCTCTCCTCTTATGCCGCCGCTGCTGCTGTTGCTACTGCTGCTCCTCCTGGTCCACCTTACTGAGCTCTATAGAGCCTTGCGCTGCAGCCTCACGCCTCCCAATGGGAAAACAAACCCTGCTACTGCTGAAGGACCACCTGCTGTTGCTGCTGCTACTTGTGCTGGGAGCGACGCCTCTGTAGGATTGTGTTGCTTCACAAGAGCAAAAGGTAGAATCCTTGAGGTGAATAAAGTGCAAACGAAGAAAAATTGAAGAGAATAGAAACAATAAGGGATGCTCTTCCTGCTGCATCTGCCGCTTCTACCGCTGCTACTGCTCCAGCCGCCGCATGGTGTCGAAGCCGCTGCTGCAGCACTAGCCTCTCGCCGCTGCTGGTGCAGCAGCAGCAGCAGCAGCGGCAGCAACAGCGGTGGGCAGCAAGTTCGTCCCTTGTTTGTTTGGGAGGACTCGAAGACTGCAATTTGTTTAATTCGTGTTTTTTAATCTCCCAAGAGTAAAAGACTTTCAAGACACCGCCTGGCTCGTAAAGTGTTGCTTCCGCGTTGTGTGTAGCGGCGGCGACAGCAGCGGCAGCAACATCGTATCTGTCTCTTTTTTGCTCGGCTCTTGACCTGTCTGCTTATTTGTCGTGTTCGAGTGTACAAACGCCTCAAGTGGGTGGTGCTGCTAATCAGAAACAGGCAAGTTAGTCTCCGAAAGCACCTGCCGCTTTCTGTTCGCCTGATGCTGTTTATGGGGGCAGCGGACGGGAGGGAGGGGTGCTGTCTGTTTTTGTGTCTTGTCTCTTTTCACTCGAGTTTGTTAATTCTTATATTTTTGTGAACCTTGCTGGCGTGGATGGATAAGCAAACCCCGAAATATCGTGCAGGCTCAGCGGACACTGCAAGAGACGCGCCGCTCTCGGCCGTCTTCCCATGTGCGCTGTATCTACAGGTGGGGGGCTCTGGTATTTTGCGTTCGTTTTATGCGAAGGCTGTGTCATTTAACAGTGAAGAGAAGCGCATGCATCTTTTTTGTCTCATTTGTTTGTTTGCAGGCCTCCTCGCCTCTCTCCAAAGGAGCAGCGGCGGCGGTTGCATTTCCTTTCTCCGTCCCTTCCGTCCCTTCTAGAACGCAGAGGTGGAGGGCAAATGGGGTGTCGCTCGCTGGTATTGCTAGGTGTCTTGGGCTTGTGCAGCTGGGGCTGCTGGTCACGCGCAGAAGATGCAGCTGCTGATGCTGCTGCTGGACCTAGGGGTCCTGAGGCAACGCTTGCATCAATTCCTGAGTTGAAGGGGCAGGCCGATGGGACGCACGAGACGCACGAGTACCAGGCGGAGGTAAGCCGTCTAATGGACATCATCATCAATTCCCTCTACACCCAACGCGATGTCTTCCTCAGGGAGTTGATATCGAATGCCGTCGACGCTCTGGAGAAGGCGCGTTTCCTCTCCATATCCTCAGCAGACACCAGCAACAGCAGCAGCAGCAAGACGGAGTTGGCAGTGTTTATTGAAGCAGACCCGCAGCAAAAGGTGGTGTCGGTGTGTGATACGGGTGTCGGCATGTCGAAGCAAGAGTTGATTACGAATTTGGGGACGGTGGCGAAGTCGGGAACGAGCAATTTCCTAGAGGCTCTGGCAAGCAGCAACAACGGGGACTTGTCTCTGGTGGGGCAGTTCGGTGTTGGGTTTTATTCGGCATTTCTCGTCGCAGACCGGGTGACAGTAGTCTCGCGTAGCAGCGGGGAAGACCAGTACGTGTGGGAGTCGAGCGCAGATGCAAAGTACTACATAGATAAAGACCCCAGGGGCAACACGCTGGAGCGAGGCACTTGCGTTGTGCTGCATTTGAAAGAAGACGCCACAGAATTCGCAAGTGTCGACAGACTCAGAGAGCTGGCAACGCGATACAGCCAGTTCATGTCTTACCCTATTTACCTCAAAGTGAAGCAGACCGTCAGCGAGGAGGTGCCTGTTGAAGATGAAAAGGAAGACAAAGCAGAAGACAAAGAGAAGTCAGAAGAGGAAGATGTACAAGTACAAGATGTAGACGAAGAAACTGACGATAAGGTGCCCTTGCAAACAGCAGAAACAGACAAATGCGCGAGAATATGAACCCAGATAAGAAGACGTATAGGGGCAGATAGATAGGGCAGTCTGGGACACGGAAAAAAAACCGAGCGAGGCAGAAATAGTCATTGACACCGAGGAAATAATCTGTGTATATGTATATTTATATACTATAATGCGAGGAAGGCGCAGAGCGTTGTTGTAGTTCCGGGGGATTCGATCGAGATGCGAACTATATGATTATCTTGGATGTGCAGTCAAGTGCGTTTAGGCGTGGCTATATAGTCTAACTGGGCGTACATGAGTGCATGTATGCGTCTGCGACAGACAGGCGGGCGCACATTAGCAGCCCAGGTGTACATCTTTTTGGCGGGTTGCTTAGGTAGTTCTCAGGCATAGCTTGCTTGAGCGTAGGTGTTCAGTTGCACCTGTAGTTTCGTGTGGCTAGTTTCTCACCTTCACACGCTTTCTTTTCACGCACAGAAGTGTGCGCACGTACACCGGAAGTGGTTGGGTGGGTTGTGGCGCTGCAGGAGGCGAAAAAAAAGAAGACGAAGACAGTGGAGCGGGAGGTGGAACGTTGGGATCGGATAAACGAACAGAAGGCGATTTGGCTGCGACCGCGCGAGGAGATAACGGAGAAGGAATACGAGGACTTCTACAAGTCGGTGACGAAGGACTGGAGTGAGCCGCTAGTCCACATGCATTTTTCAGCAGAGGGAGAGGCGGAGTTTAAGGCGCTTTTGTATATACCGAAGCGCTCTCCCGCAGACATCTTCTCTCAGTACTTTGGCAAGCAAACCAGCATCAAGCTGTACGTACGCCGCGTGTTGGTGGCCGATGTTTTCGATGATATGCTGCCCAAGTACCTCCACTTTGTCAGGGGAGTTGTGGACTCAGACGATCTCCCACTGAATGTGTCCCGTGAGCAGCTGCAGCAGCACAAGGTCCTCGGCATCATCAGCAAGAAACTGGTGCGCAAGACTCTAGAGACTGTGCGGAAGATGTTCCTCGACGCGAACAAGAAGCGGGAGGAGCAGCAGAAGCAGCTGGAGGAGACGTCCGAGGAGCAGGAGAAGGAGAAAATAAAAAAGGAGATGCAACAGCCTTCGCTGTACGACCAGTTTTACAAGGAGTTCGGACGCAACCTTATGCTCGGCTGCTATGAAGACGATGAAAACAGGCTGAAGATCGCCAAAGTGCTCAAGTTCTACTCCAACACAAGCCCGACAGAACCTATCTCTTTAGAAGCCTACGTCTCACGAATGAAGGAGGGCCAGCCCGCCATCTATTACGCCGCGGGAGAGACGGCTCAGCAGCTCCTGTCCCAACCCCAGATGCAGTTCTTCACCAAAAAGGGATATGAAGTCCTTTTCTTGTTGGAAGCCATGGACGAGCCATGCATTCAGAGACTTGGAGACTTCGACGGTCAGGCAGACAGACGTGCATAGACTGAGCAGGTCGTCGGGTAGTGAGGGTTCCGAGTTTAGGGGACTGGGCTACTTGGGGTTTAGTGCCTAGGTGTTAAGTGCGTTATTAAGGGTTCAGCGTCTAGGATGTTAAACGCGTAGGGCATTAAAGAGTATATGGTTGATGATGTCAAGGGTTTAGGCTAGTTTTGAGGGCTTAAGAGCTTCGGATCCAGCAGGGTTTGGGTGGGGCATGCTGAGGTAGTTCTGTGTCGGCTTGTTGCTTATAGTATGCTGTGTTTTGCATTTGTTGCATGCTTTAGGGAAGAAGTTTGAGTCTATTCAGAAGGGCAACGTGACTCTAGAGGAGACACCCGATGAAAAGCGGCAGTTCAAGCGTCTGACAAAGTATTACGATCCTTTGCTGAAGTGGTTGAAGAAGGTTTTGGGGCCGAAGGTGTCTAAGGTCGAGGTGTCTCGGCGGCTGGTAGAGGCGCCGTGTGCAGTGGTGGCTTCGCAGTGGGGGTATTCTGCGCAGATGGAGAAGGTGATGAAGACGCAGACCTTCGCTGATCCGATGCACTTGCGGTTGATGCGGGGACAGAAGGTATTTGAAATCAATCCGAGCCACCGTATCATGCAGCAGCTGCTGCAGCGCGTACGGGATGGAGGAGAGGACTCCATGAAGGATGAGGACACACAACTTGCAGAACGTCTCTTTGATGCAGCAATGCTCGCATCAGGCTTCGACGTAGAACAGCCGGCGCAGCTGGCCGCAGTCCTGTACAAGGGACTGGCGAGCCAGGTGGGAGTGGATCCCGCAGATCCCATCAACGAAAATATCGACTTGCCAGAAGAGGAAGCAGACAAGACGGAGGAGAACGCCGAGGAACCAATGGACAACCGCTCCGCGGAGGATATCTTCGCCAACCTTGACCTGGGAGGGGGCTTGAAGGACGAGCTTTAAGACGGCAGCAACCAAGCAGCATGGATTGGAATTGTGCAGCCGCGAACTGCTGCACACACTACAGGGTATAGGGGCTGTAGGCAGGAGGGGACAGTGAGATAAGAGGCGCAACAGGAAGGAAACAGAGCGATTGGGTGCAAGCGTGTTGTGGAGCGGTGGACATATGCCGGGATGGGCGTATGTTTGTATTGTTACTGGTGTGTATTGGTACATGGGACTTATACGTATGATATGTACGGACAAGGTGTATGTGTGTGCAGTTGAACCTGAGGCGCAGGATGCAGCTACGTAGGAGTCCTATGTGTAGGCATGTTTCATGTACTAGATACAAACGTTGTTACTCAGGAATATGTGTGTAGATGCACATCGATTCAAATATGCGAAGGTGTGCAGGAGGGCGGGTGGCGCATTAGGCACAGTTTAGAGGATGAGGCACTGAAGGCGGGAATGACAGGCGTAGTGGCTTATCTTTTTACAGGGTCATTTGGGTGCGCATCATCAAATAAGAAGCGTCCATGCGGGCGTCGGCTTCTATTGTATCAATTGTCTTTCCCCTTTGGTCTGTTCTTCGAAACAGGCAGTGGAGCGGGAGGAGGAAGAAATGACACCTTTAATATGTTTTGCAACACCAAAACGTTGAGGAACGCACGGTCGGCACTCAGCACACCATTCAGCAAGCCACATTACTTGGCTACTTCGCCTAGGAAGCATTAGAATGCTAAACGGATTGCAATGCTGCAAGCTTTAGACAGCTGTGTAGATGGGTGTTGTTTCTAGAAACGTTCACAAACTTAGGTTCCTAGAAGATGGTGTATATAGACGTACCGGAGAATGAATCTAAAGGGGGGAAGGTATAAGCAACACTGTACGAGGGCAATGAGATACAGGCAGGCCAGGGTGACAGGAAAGGAACGCACGGTGGATGCAGCAAGTAGGTAAGGAGGGATGTCAGCGTACGGCGAAGGTGATGGGCACGGGCTTCTTCAGCCGATGGATCTCCAGTGATGCCTATTTCTGCGTCTGGCGTCTGGCTCTTCTTGTTACCTTTTCTTCTATTAAAATCGGTTTCTTGCCGTCGTTGGGTCTGGTCGCTGCATCTGCAGATTGCTAGTTCATGTTGATCTCTGTCCCTGCTGTAACTAGCTCGTATTTGCTTGAACTCTTCCCAAAAGTGTCCTCCCGCTTAACGTCGCCATTTTATGTTCTCGAGTTCTTATCCGTCTTTGCAATGTGCTGGATGGCCGCTGCTTCTCTCTGTCCGGGACGGGCGCGTCTACACCACGAGGTGATTAGAGGTCTGCTGGTCCACAGCTGTTCGCTGCGGTTACGGTAGAAGACTGAGAGCGCTGTGAGTTATGGTGCGCTGCTTCTTCATCGTTTACGTTTCTTCAGTACGAGGAACAAACTGTAGTGGGAGATTGACTTCGTTAGCAGTCATATTCTTATACTGTGCCATAGTGTAAGCCTTGCGTGCCGAAGAATTTGGCACGCGCATTTGACTGGCTGTGTTCATGAGAGGAAAAGCGGTCTGGGGCTTTGAGCATATTAATATTGGCAGGCCTGAGGCAGTTGGTCTTTGTGCCCGCTGTGATGGAACATTCGAGTTTCTGGGGTTATCCGCTGCTGAGGGAAGGGTATCGGTACAACCCCCAGCATCTGATGCCGCAGTGACGGGTACTCCAGGATTTTTGCTGTAGCAGCCGTCTTCCAGGATCTCTGTCGAATAGCCACAGAGATCCTGGAAAAGGGCAGTTACCTGTAGGGATGCTCTACGAATGCTCTCCCGTGCGGTTTTCTGTACGTAGTTCCTTTTGTGGGACTGTTCGCTCCCTAACGTTTCACCCACAACGAAAAGTTGGCCACCGCCTCGAAATAATGGCGGGGAAACACAGGAAGTAGCACGCGAGCAAAATACCCAATGAGAACAACTGGAGCCTGTGGCAAAGTGGAGGTGCAAGCCGCCAATTGCATTACCACAGGAATGGCTAGGGTAAATGAGCATTTTCAGGGCAATCAATAGCTGGCGAGTTTTACAGTTTACAAAAAGGCTCGTAGTTGAATATACGGCGCCCGTTAGCCTGTTCGCCATGTTTGCCTGCAGCTACTCTTCCGCTCTTGACTGCATGTTTAGCTGTTCACAAATTTTATTTTCATGACGTGTTTCAAGCAACTTTGTCGCCCTGTATAGTGCACTATGGTGTAGGACACGAAGAACTCCACTAGATTTGGCTGGCCTTGAATGGTAATACGGATAGTTGGGGACATTCAAGCATAACATTCAGAGGTGCAGATAACAACATTGCAGACGAATTCTCGGCAAAGTAGCTGCAAAAGTGTGTTTCCACTCACCAACAATGGCAGTGCGAAGTAGTTTGAAGACGGCTTGAAAGCGTTGGAACCGTTACCCTAAACGGCGTTGACACGGTAGGGAAGCATCTACGTTGGCTTCTTCTGCGCAACTCAAGCAATCAGTCTTTGGGTTCTAATGCGAATACCGTAGAACTGAAATTTGAATGAATTGAGAGAGGAGTGCTCTCACTTCACTTGGAGGCTCAATGAAGCACTTTCATTGGAACTCCGGGCTCTTCGTTGGGGCGGATCTGCTCTACCGTATACCCCGGAATAAGCGTAGTTCAGCAGCAGTGCCGAAAAAGATGCGGCTTCTAACTTACAAGCACTATGACAGACTGCTGAGGCCGGCCTGTTACGATCGGCTTGCACAATGGTCTTACCTTGGTGTACCGCTGCAATGCGAGGAGAAATTGTCCTTACTGCTTCCAAAATGCTGCGATGAAGATCACATTAAAGTCTAATTCCAACCACAGTCTACGAATCTCTGTACGCATAGGATACCACAGGCTGGAATGCAGAGTTTTCGCATGTTGTCAGGCATTACCAGACCAGAAGCTTGCGAATTAATAGCCGCAGGCTTCTGGACTGCTTAGCCGTATGATCGATTGCAAAGGCGAACCTTCCGAACAGTGCAGAGGAGACAACTAGCGGAATCTGGTGCTGCAGGGGAGTCAAGCAGGGCTGCAGGTATTTAGCCCGTTAACCTCTGCTCTAAAGATTTGCATCGTGCATGGAGGGCATACAAATACGTACTACAGAGGGAAAGTCCCCACTCAGTGATACCCCACCTGAAGCACGTGGACGATCGTACCACGGGGGTAAACAGGGGTAGAGGAGCAAACGAACTATATAAAGGGATGGAATGCTCCCTTCGATGGACTGGAATTGAGTTTCACCCGTCCCAATGTGCGTTTGGGCATGCCTGAGCAGGAACCAGACCCAGTGGATTCAAAGCTTTGCTACGAAGTTTTTCGTCTGGCCAGGCTTGAGGGAGCGTTAAAATACCCATAATCATGAAGTCAGGATTCGACAAGATCGTCGCCTTTGTGCCTTCAGGATTCAGTTACTGTGGCATACCAGCCTACAGACAAAAACAAATTTTGGCAAGGACCTACTCTCCTAGGGCACGAGGAAGGTCGATACACGCTCCTACCACAAGAAGTTAAGGGCGACCAGAGGTCTCGGTGGACCCAGAGTCGCTCTCCCGTACCTTCAGTAGTTATCCACACCACACGTACAGCAAAATAAAGGCTCGACATAACATGGCAATGGACAAATTAAAGAGGCCATCAAGCGCAGCGCGGCCAGGGGTAAACCCTGCTGTTCTGCTTCGGAATGAACAGCGTAGGAAGGTAGCGGGAGCGGGAGTGGCCTTCCTCTACGAAGATAACACAGAGGATTCCTTCGCTGGAACAGTAAATAGTGGGGAGAATATCAAAAGCTCAAAATACACTGTGACAGCGTGGGCCTCAGTCGACGGCTGCAGCCGCTCATTACGGGCCACTAATCTGAACTGCGCGAGAGAACCATCAAGTACTAGCACGTAGTCTTCATGTTTACAAGCGCATGCCCTGGCTTATCCTACGAGCCGCCACTAGTGAATACATCAGGTCTAGCCTGAGATCTGGGTCTTCCACAAAGCGCACAACGGAACACAGATTTCTGGAGAGGTGAGCATTCCAGTAGCAATACCACACCGACTGAGTAATATCTCCCGGTAGTATTGAAAGGCCACAGCACCTCATTGTAACAAGCACTAACCACAGCGCATGTAAACGGGCGGCACCAGAGTAGGGCCTTCAATAATAGAAGCTGCCTCCTCCTGTATTCTTCACCACAATTATCCATGAAGGAATTGAGCACGCCAACATCTGACCGCATTGAGTTTCCTCATCGACGACACTCTGAAAATTTAAAGAATTCAACGTCTTCCGTCACATTTGACGGTTTGGCACCTTCCAGAGTCCTATCGAAATCATCAAAGAGAACGATGAGGCTAATAGCCACCTTTCAAGTAAGAAAAGCCAGAAACAGTCTTGGTAAAATTGTAAACCTCAACCACGAATGGGTTGACAATTTTCTTGCTGGTGTGCTCGTAGTCATCTTCTGTGCTGTCACGGGATCTAGGTGTGCTCTTTGTCATTCCATGTGCTATGCGTTAGCTTTAGAGCCTTTTCCTGACAAGTTGCTTCATGCATGCTTTCTGGGCTGCATGAATCAGCGGATTCAAAACCGTAAGAACCCGTCGTGCCGCATGCACTAGGCGCAGCAAAACAGCTCCTTTTCTCCCAACGCAACGGCAGCAAGGGCAACATATGGAAACGTTTCAGCTGAAGGCTACGGTCAACGGTGTTGGCAATATAAAAGGAACAGTAGCACACCATTGGGCCACGACTAATACCGGCCACTACAGCATTTGCGATGATGGCGTGGCAGAAGAAACATGTTGAAATGGTGGTTGCTCGTGCGAAGCGAAAAGGTGAGCCGGTGGCACGACGTCGAGGCCAAAACCATTACCCAGGACATTAGCAAGTGCAGATACCTAACCACAAAATGTCCCGTACACTTCTTGATGCAGTTATGCGCAAATGTAATGTGAAGCCTTCGGTCCTGAGATGTGCAGTGTGAATAGCTAACATGAGGGGTGC